AGAGCTTACAAATGAGGTATTTGAGCTCACGGTATCATTCTTGTATCTATCTATCAATAGATGCAGTGATTTAGTTGCTTTCTAGGCTTCTGCTCAGCTCTCAAGAGGGACACGGACTCTGAGCTCATATATATGTAGTCATACAAATTCAGGTGCTTAATTTTGAATGGAATCCCATCCAGTACATCACTTATGACAAGCTGCATATTCAATCCATCTCTTGTCTGTCTTCTCTGTAGAAGAAGAGTTATGGTAGTTTCTCTCTTTTTTTTTACGGAGGTCTGTGAGATTCATCAATGAAAAGCTCTAAAGCTCCCTGAAAATAATAGAATGTATTCAGGGAGAATTTAGGATGGATGTATGGAAAGCTCTTTTTCATGGTAAAAATCTTCATCTTTGTTATATTTTACTAGAGGATATAGGAAGAAACCTCTTAAGAGTTTAAAAAAAAGATTGAACAATGTATTAGAGAAAATGTGATAAACATTGACAAGAGGGGCTGTATAAGGAATTGGCATTCATTTTGTGGTATTAGTGAATATATAAAGAACTTTAATATTATAAGAACCATGAAATTCAGCTACATATTTTTGACGCTAGTGTAAATTACAGTGCCTTTTTGGGGATGTGAAAGGGCAAAAGGCAGGTTTGGGGAACAGCTGTTGCTTTGAGTTTTTGCCAGTTGCTCTAATACTTGAAAACCCAGCTTGTCTCTTATCATAGCTGTGCTCCGCTGTTGTTTGGAAAGATTGTACGTTGTGTTTGCCATCTTTCATGTTTGTTACTGTACATCTGCTTTCTACTTGATTTTTTAAAAATCTGACTTGCCAAGACAATGTCAAACTTCTTGCATGCAGTTTAGCAGCTGTTATCCAGAGGAAGGTGGTCTGAGCTGGCCTGGAGCGATACTCCTGCAACTGCAGGGAAAGCATAGAAAGAAAAGCAGAAATGCTTCTGTTCTCTCTTTCTGTATGCCACTTGCCTCTGCAGCAATAACTGTTAGATATGTGCCTTCTAATTTTAAAAGAAAAGGTGGTTATGCAAGTTGTTATGAGGGGGAAAAAAAAAAAAAAGAAGAAAAAGGGTGGGAATACAGAGGGAGCACACCTAATGTGAGTTTTTAATGGGCTGATCTGAGCTAATTCAAGCTTCTGATGTCCTGTCCTTTCAGAATGTGTGTGGAAATTGAGTTAGGTTAGCTGTGCAGTTGCTGATGCCTGTAGGGTTTGGAGAGCAGTGTCCATTTGTGCTCCAGTCAGAGTTCAATCCAGCCAGATGTTGCGTCCGATCCATGTCCAAAGAGGCACATGTGGATTTAGTGAGATCTTAAGCAACACCTCACCCTCTTGGTTTTCTTCTTCCTGCCTTTGACTCCTGCTCCCATTTTTCTGGTCTGGTGCTAATGTCTCATACCTTTCTAGCGCAGCCAGTTATATATATATATAGCATCTTTTTACATCCTCCATCTCTTGTGTCAGATGCAGCTGGTGGTTTCAAGCCATCTGTGTTGGGCATAGGTGGCTCTACACAGGGAGTGGAGTTGGACCTATTTGTCCTAGCTGTAAGTCTATGGCTGTATTGCGTACTTAGCCAGGGTAAAATACGTAAGAAAATGATCACCTATGATTGGTCCCGATCTTCTGAACTGATACAATTTTTTAAAATAATGACAACTTCTTTGCCTTATGTTTTCCATTTATTTGGGGATAGGAGCAAAGAGAAGTTGTTACTTAACCTCTGTGTTGTAAAAGTGAGTATGATTTACCAAATGCCAATATGTTTAATACAGTGACAGAGTATCACAGTGAATATCTTGTCTAGTAATAAGCTGGGGCTGAAGTGTGACTTGAAACAGGTGGAAGACGAATGTGGAAAGCAGTGGAACTGCCATTGCCAACTCTATTTTTTCTGCACGTGGTAACATACTACCCTCCAGCCTGGTTGAGCCTGATGTAGCCCCTGTAATTCAGAGGCTTATTTTGTCTTGATTTCTTGTTTAACTTCCTGTTACATATATTTTGAAAAAATTTTAGCCTCGCTTCTCATGAATTTTCTTTGAGAAAGATTAAGTTTGTTTAACTCTGGAGTTGTATGTGGTGAAGAAAATGGTGGTAGTGCTTTAGTGGCAAGGACACATAGTAATAAGAACTTTTTTTACTTACTAATGGGTTAGTAGCTGAATAGGTCTGTAAGTGTTTGATTCAGATAGTTGAAGGTTTTAAATTAGAAGAAACTTAAAATTGCAATTGCAGACTTTTTTTCTTCCTCTGATCAGGACCAGTTAATGCATTGCTTAATCTGTTGCATATATTTACTCATCAGTGTTCAGTTTACTTTTTGGAATTAAACTTTCACTGAAATGAGGAGGATATGTAATAATTTAAATCGTGCATTCACAAATGAAGCTTGTTTTTTTCCCTCCACTCTGAGCACTGCTGTGTGTTTTAGCTTGCTCTTTAAAGAAATGGGATGTATTGGGGTCGATCTGTCTCTCCCCTGCTAGCTCTTGAATGCATTGGACCATTTCATAAAGAATTGATGAGAAAATGAAAAACTCAAATTGCAGTTGTATGTTTTCTTCAAATTAGCTTTTATAGGCGAGGAAAAACATGATGTGGAGAAAGGACTTAAATTAGTGCTCCTGGTGAAAGGCATTTTGATTATACTCAGTGTGGTAGGTGTTTCAGGAGGTAGCAGGCAATTAGCTGGGCAGCGTGCAGCCAGCTTCCGACTGGCCCCAGTGCGTTGCATGGGGTGGTGGGGAAAAGTCGGGTAAACTGCAAAAGGCAAGAGGGGGGCCAGCTCTGAGAATGCTAGACAGAAAGCCATGGGAAACCAGGCTTTATTCTGCTGGTGGTCTGGTCTTTTCATATAAGAATTTAAGTAAGATTGGTTAAAAAAAATGAAATTGAGAGTATGAACATGTGTAGCAAAACATATTCCCAGTAATTCTCTTAAAAAAGCAAACAAACCAACCCCAAACCCAGTAGAATGGTTGCCTTGTTCACCAGAGTGTTTTACTGATGAATTGCACATAAAAATTAGTTCCAAGGAAAGACAATTTTGAGATGCCTAATCACCCACCAATATTTCAGGAATTCTGTTGTCATAGTTGTAGGGAGTCTTTATGCCTTTAGTTTGTACAACAGTGTGGTTAATGTTACAGAGAAAACCAAAAATTGTAGCTTGTGTGTTGGAGTAATACTAAGATTTGGAATTGGCTGCTCCTATTAATTTACTTCTTAGTAATTATGTTTATGAACGTTTTACTGCACAATGAAATAATTCGTCAAAATGACTTTTATTTCATAGTTGCAAGATGCTAGCCTGTTTGCAGTGTGATGTTGCTAGATGTTGCTCTTCAATAATTGAATTTCCAGTTTTTACCTGTTTTTGAAAACTGACTGCATTGGATATTAAGTAATATTTTAAAATGCATCTGTTTGTAGAGGAATATGGAAACATAGAACAGAAACAGGAAGCTTTTTGGACTAATGGAATATAAAAATTATTCTTCTTACCTCTGATGTATTGTTTAAAATTTAGCAAACTCAGCTGGCCTTAAATTCTGACATGTTTGAATAAACTGTCTCATATTAAGAAAGATGTAAAATAGAATTCAAGACTACTGCTTAGAAGTCACGAGCCTATTTCTTCCTGGCCTGTTCTGAAATAATCTTACAGTTAAATACTTTGTTTTTTGCTAATTACTTGAAAGTTAATATTTAAAAAATGTTCTTGAGAAGAAAATATTTTAAACCTTCTGGGGGGAAAGTCATTACAAAAATTACTATGCAACATTTGAAAAGCAAAAAGGTCTTTTTAATTTACTAATGTGATTTTAATTAGAGAAATTGAAAGGTTGCTTTAACTGCTTTAGTGCAATAAAAAAGAAATTTTCAGTTAAGTCTTTTCCAAATGAACTTACGACCTTGGTAACACTATAACTTCTCATTCCAGAAAATTTCAGTGCCACATGGTCTTTAAATAGAATATTATAGTAGTGCATGGACATTGAATTGTCAGTGTTAAAAAAACCTAGTCAAATCAACTCAGAATTGTGTTAATGACATTTTGAAGAAAACTACTTAAGAACTTTTTATATTATATGCTTTCATTTCCCTTTTGGGGGAATTCTGTCCCACTTGGGCGTCCTACTCTCAAAGCTGCTCCCTGCAGGATAGTGTTTGCTATGCTATTGTGCCCTTTTGCGATGCTTTGAGATCTCTTCTTGCATTTGTTTTCCCTATCTTAGTTTCTTCTATTTTCCCAAGAAAACCAGTTCCGACAGACTTCTTTCTCATATAAATGTCTTCCTGCATCTGGCATGCTCCCAAAATCTGTTCAATATGTGCTCTTAACATCATTCAGATTGTCATTCAGCACCACCTGTGGAAAACTATCGTCTTCATCATGTTGCAGCTTCTTCCTTATTCTCATCCAGCCTATTTCTGTGACGCCCTTGCCCTTATCTGTCAGATGACTTTGTTATTTTGACTGAAAACCTGTCGAAGCAAGGGTAGGTCCGTGTCTGACGTAGTCAGGGGGCTGTAATGCATGGACAGTCCGTCAGTGGCCAGCTTGCCAAGGCAGCGAGCCAGCTTGCTCCAGACAGTGATCTTTCCTGCTGTTCCTATGGGGACTGCTAGTTTTTTATAAATGCAAATGTGCACTAAAGTCCAGTGGTTCTGGTACTGGAGCACAGGTCTGTGTAGACAGTAAATATTACACTTTTTGCCTGGCTTTGGTGTACATTATCTACATGGACTTATCCTCTGGGCTTACCTGCAGTGCTCTTGTCATGTTCTGGATTGAGTGCACAATTCCAGCGCCTCGGTAGGAATTGTACAATATCTTATGGCAGGAAGGCTGAAGCAAGTGCTTTAAAAGAAGAAAGGTGAAGTATATTTTGTAGAAAAAACTGAATGTGTGCTACACAGATTCATAGCTCTTAATTTTCATTGTTGTAAATATAATACATATTTTTCTGTAAATTCCAGGTTGTGAGCCATGCCTTTGGTGAAAAGGAACATTGAACCGCGGCATCTCTGCCGAGGAGCTCTGCCGGAGGGAATTACTAGTGAACTGGAATGTGTAACGAATAGTACCCTTGCTGCTATCATACGCCAGCTAAGCAGCTTAAGTAAGTATCTGTAACTTCGTGCAAGTATTTGACTCCTAATGAAAAACTGAATAAATGAAAAGCTTTAAGATGGCTTGTTTTAAATAGCAAAATTATGATACAGGACATTGCCACTTATGTAATATAATAAATGCTACTTCTTTGCTTTTATGCTCTTTTATATTTTGAAGTTTATACAAGCAGAGCCTCTCTAAGATTTAGAAGTGTAAAAATAAAAAAAAAAAACAAAACACTATGGCATAGAAAACAAGGAATTTTTCTAAGGTGAGAGAAATTGGTGTAAGAAACAAGACTAGCGCTCAAGTTATTTTTGGCTTTCAGTTGTACAAGATGAAGCGAGAAAATTCTTCTGCCTCTTGGCATCAAATGACACATTTGACTGAAATTTCAGTTTGTCTTAATGTGCTAGTATTTCTTAAGCCTTTTCTTTGTTAATGTGTTGTGGTTTAACCCCAGCCAGCAACTAAAGCCCATGCAGCCATTCACTCACCCCTCCCCTCCGGTAGGAAGGGGGAGAGAATCGGGAGGGCACAAGTAGAAAAACTCGCGAGTTGAGGTAAAAACAGTTTAATAATGGAAATAAAACAAAGTAGAACAGTAATAATAACAATGATAACAACAACAATAACAGAATGTACAAAGCAGGTGACGCACAATGCAACAGCTCGCTGACCACGTGTTGCAAATGGGGGGGCGAGCCCCTCCTCCTCCCCCCCAGTTTTTATACTGATCACGATGTCACATGGTATAGAATGCCCCATTGGCCAGCTGGGTCAACCACCCCAGCTATGCTCCTCCCCCCGCAGCTTCCCCTGCACTTGGCAGAGCATGGGGGGCTGAAAAGTCCCTGGTGCAAGCACCACCCAGCAACAACCAAAGCATCAATGTGCCATCAACGCTCAGCTCATACCAAACCCAAAACACAGCACCCCCCCAGCTACTGGGAAGAAAGTTAACTCTGTCCCAGTCAGAACCAGGACAATATGTGTGAGATCAATTCATATGAATGAAATTAAGCACATACATCAAAAGAATGCCATTCACTGAACAAACCTGTAGGCTGCTGTTGAGGCAAGCTAGTGTCAGCTGCGTACAGAATAGCCTGCACAGTACACCTGTCAGTTGACACCACAACTAGCAATTCTAGAAGCATGCCTGGAGTGCTTGCAAGAAGAATAATATTTCTTAATGAATGAGAAAAGAGATTTCTTCAGAGAGTGTTTAACAATCAGCAGCTGTTGTTTGTGCTGATAACTCTGGTCCTAAAAGAAATTATCGCTTCATCAGTTTCTTCACTTTGTAAATGGAAATGGTTTAAGAATGTAAGAAAGTCTGTATGGAGCTTAGATTACGGGTCCCACTAAGTCCGGTGTTCAATTTGTGATGAAATAGTCTATTTTTTTTAGAGTACAAGAAGCACAGCATGTTCCCCTTTCAAGTCAGTGATTTAGGGATTTTCTGAGCTGGAGGTCCATCTGAATCATTCTATGTAACAAGCATTTGTAAACCTATCATCTGTGGAATTGCTTAGATGTGTTCAGATAGGGATTGCACTTTTTTTCTTGCCCAATGACTTGTGGCAGAATGTCCCACAACAGAAATTGATCTGTTTCTTCCTTTTGATACCTTCTGGTTCTTGAGTTATGAAAAATAATGAAAGGTGATTTCACCTCATGTATTTCCGTAATCATCTGTGATTTTATTAAATCTTTATTGTGTTCTCCTAGTGATATCTTTTCCAGGTTGGAGTGTCCTGATCTGTTAGCACTCTTTTTGGACAGAAACCATTTTGTATTTCTGATCATTGTTATTTCTGCTTTGGTTAGAGTATGTTGGGGTCTTTTTAAGGTGGTGTCCTTGTTTCAGCTAGGATAAAGTTAATTTTCTTCCTAGTAGCTGGTATAGTGCTGTGTTTTGGATTTAGGATGAGAAGAATGTTGATAACACACTGATGTTTTAGTTGTTGCTAAGTAGTGCTTACACTAGTCAAGGACTTCTCAGCTTCTTGTGCCCTGCCAGCGATAAGCTGGGAGGGGGCACAGCCAGGACAGCTGACCCAAACTGGCCAAAGGGATATTCCATACCATATGACATCATGCTCAGTATATAAACCCGGGGAGTTGGCTGGGGGGCGGTGACCGCTGCTGAGGAACTGGCTCGGCATCGGTCGGTGGGGGGGGAGCAATTGCTGCTGTGTTTTGGATTTAGGATGAGAAGAATGTTGATAACACACTGATGTTTTAGTTGTTGCTAAGTAGTGCTTACACTAGTCAAGGACTTCTCAGCTTCTTGTGCCCTGCCAGCGATAAGCTGGGAGGGGGCACAGCCAGGACAGCTGACCCAAACTGGCCAAAGGGATATTCCATACCATATGACATCATGCTCAGTATATAAACCCGGGGAGTTGGCTGGGGGGCGGTGACCGCTGCTGAGGAACTGGCTCGGCATCTGTCGGTGGGTGGTGAGCAATTGCATTGTGCATCACTGTTTTGTTTATTCTATTATTATTATTATTATTATTTTCCCTTCCTTTTCTGTCCTATGAAACTGTCTTTATTTCAACCCACAAATTTTTTTTTTTTCCCCCTGATTCTCTGGGGGATGGGGGAGTGAATGAAAGGCTGTGTGGTGTTTAGCTGCTTGTCGGGTTAAACCACAACAGGTGGAGTGTTGAGGACTTCAGATCATAATCAAAACAGACTTTTTCTGTTTTATCATTAGTTTCCGAAGAATTTATAAAATTTTGATTGCTGCTAACCATTGAGTTGATATTTTTGGAGAAGTTTCCAAGTGATTCTCTGATCTTTCTTGAGCAGTAGCTGCCGATTTAGTGTCTAATGTTATTTCTAGTTAATTTGTGTTCGTATTGTCATTGAGTTTCATTTACCATTTTATCAGGCAGTTGCTCAATATTGACATCCTTAAGTTTCAGAAAATTGAGAAGAATGGCTAATGTTTCCTAATTACATTCAAGGATCTGATAAGACCTCATTTTGGTATTGTACAGTGATTGCCGAAGTGGGGATAATACCCTTTTCACTTGTCTGACTTGCTAGGAACGGCTAGCTTTCATTTCTCTGGATTTGGTCTTGGGACTAATGTGCCTGTTACATTGCATATTCAGATCCTCTTATGATTGTTGTTGAGGAACTGGTTATTTGCATAATCCATATCCTGCAATTTTCCCTTAGTGGATTTCTTGGGTCATCAGAAGTCTCTGTAGACAGCCCTAAAGTACTTTATTAGTGTCAAGTTAAAGATCTATGCAAATAAGTGATGTGTCCTTTGTTTTAACAGATGAATACATGGTATTTAATGAGTGAAGTCTACCACCAGGCTTGTCCACAGTCTAAAATCTGTCATGTTTGCAGAGGGTTTTTTCTGCAGACAGTGTTTGTTTTGCCTGTGTTTCAAGCCAACTGGGAGCAAGGAAATGATCATAGAAAAATGCTGTGCTGGAGCTTATGTAGTCTGTCCTGCTGACAGCATCAGAGGTTGTTGGTGTTCCCACAGCTTGAAGCATAGAGAGAGCAAGTACGGGTCTATCTTGCAGACACACTTTTTTAATGTTGCACTGTGAGTTCAGTGTGGATTTTAAAAACTGGCAGATCTGTGCTGTTGCGTACAAATTTGGCTTGCTTCTGCCTCTGCTCTTTTCAGGAGACATGAACAAGTTCCTATCCAAAGGGAATGTGTTCTCAGTGGAGCTTTTTTCTATTATGTCTTCAGATTTGGGTTTGTTTGCAGCCAGCTGGCATAGAGCACAGGCAGAGTGAGCAGCGTTCTGTATGAGACTGTGCACTTTTATATAAGGTAAAAGCTTGACTAGGGGATTCACCTCCACTTGGGAGGAGAGAATCTAGCGGGAGGAGGACTTGGGAGCATTTGCAGCCCATACCTGTAAGTACCATGGTGCTTTACCTGGTAAACACAGTCATGGAGCAAAGGCTTTGAAGAAAGCTTCCACAAAATACTCCCTTACTTCTGGCAATGAAGTTTGGTCTGATGGCTGCAGGATTCTAGCCAGTGAAAAAAGCTGCTCTCGGCAACAGGATCTGTTGCACCATGGTTTTGTTCCCGAGTTTTGCATGTGTGTATATATGGGGAAGAAGTAATGAGTTACATCTGATTGTTGTTGAAGACTAAATATTAAAACCTGTATATGTACTCCTTTATTGAGCTTTTCTTAATTACATTTCAGCCTGTACATGAACATACTCATTGTGTTTCAAGTTGCATTACCACTTCTTAACTTCTTTCCTTTCTGTGTGTCTTTAAATATTTTGTATTTTTGGCTTCTCCATTCATTCAGATATTACCTGTCAGGCTGAAATCTTATTTCTACATGAGTATAGATCATCTGTACACAAAGAAAGAGCTACTTACTTTGACCCATATGCAAGTGATACCAAATATTTTTTGCTGTACAGCATAAAACAGAGGAAGTGTAATTTGTGGGGACTTGGAAGACTTTTTCTTTCATGCAGAGAGCAACGTCCACCAACTTGCCTCCTAGTATTTTCTTGGGTAGATTGGCTCAGAGTTTCGCTAATTTGCACGCAGGCCTGAGAACACTGCATCCAGCTTTGTGTGGCTCTGCTCTTTACCACTGCTAAATCAGGTTGAGTTTGGAAGTTAGCTTTTTTGGCATTGGGTGTCGTGCTGGAGGTACTATGAGGAGGCAGATAAGAATCAAGACCTGGTCAGGAACAGCCTACCACTTTCACTTATTTAAAAAAAAAAGGGAGGGGGAGGGAGGGGAAAGCATGATTCTAATGATAATTAATCCAATTACAAATGGGTGGGTGGAATCACTGTTTTCTGCTCCATGTTGTGATAAAATGGTCATGTCCTGAGTGAATTCCAACTTAAAAAACACCAGCTAGTTCTGTAGGACGTTTCAGTCCTCACCTAGGACCCTGAGGAGAGCATTGGTGCAGCGCTGGCTCCCTTTGGGGCAGCCCTAGTGTAATCTTTTCTTCCAGTGTCTTTTTAGAACTGAGACCTGAATGCCAGGTGATGTCATTGTTTACTTTTCTCTTTGATAATGCATGTTCACAGTGTGAAAAATTGTAGCCCTTTTAATGCACTGTAAATCTTTGTATTAACTTGAACATGTTCTTCCACATATTTGTGCTGTGGAACAAGGAATGCAAAGAAAGCTGTACTTTTTAAGCTCAAATATGTGAAAGGAAACTAGCCAAAGTAATAAACACTGCTGGGTTTTCGGTCTTCAGACAAGACAGCATCATTGTTGGATTGCTTTTCTGTTACAGCACTGAGCGTTTTGGCTGCTGACAAAAGGTACCTTTGGGACAACATATTCAATGTGTTAATGCAACCTTTTTGTGCAGTATGTGAAAATCGATTGTAATTAATTCACGTGGTGTCTAGTCTCTGCTAGGGATGTTATAAGCTGATGTGGCAAGATGGTGTTTCATGTAATTACTGTAGAACTTGGGTAGAGGTATTATGATTTCAATTATTTGTGAACTGCTGATCTCCAGAAATGTCTCGCAATGCTTGGAAATTTATTTTGTGAGCGATCAAATACACAGCTCTATGAAGATGACCTGTGGAAATGCAAATGCTAGAAAGATGCACTTCTGTTAATTGACATTAAAACCTATGGAGAGCGGCGATTTGGTGAGGCAGCATCATGACTAAATTTCCCCTCAACTATTTCTGTGGTTGGAGGGAGCCTTGGAAGGAAAGACTGCATAATTCCTTTGGTGTTTTTTTTTAAAATGAATATTTAGGTTGCCTGTATGTTGGGAAGCACCTCGTGTTTTTAAATGACTGTCTTATAGATTAAAATCAGCTCTTAAGTTGAGAGATAGGGGTTTTTTTCCTGCTTGTTTCTATATTGTTAAAAATCTAATTAAAAAAATGGTAATATAGAAAACACTAGAGAAGTAATACTTTATTTCTAAAACTTACTGCATCACGTTAATCAGAATAGCGTGTTCTGATATTGCTTTACCATGTCACTGTTTTTAACAGTGATTGACAATCTGTCTTTCACTTGTTTTAGAGTAGCAAGTGTTTTAAAAAAAAAAAAAAGAATTCAATATTAAAAGTAGTATGTTCCCACAAATCAACTTTATGACTTATTTTGCCTCCTGAAAGATAACTGACAAGCACCCGTCTGCTTGACTTCTCCAGGAGTGGTGTGTTTAATCCTAGAATGTGGCAGTCGTCCCTCAGCAAGCTGATCTTAATACATTGACATAAACTAATACCCATTAAAATTTGTTGATGTTTTGAGCCCTGAATACTGTTGGCTAAAGAATGTAATACCTGCTTTATTTAGCTGAAGAGTTGAAAAGCTTATTTGTTCTATAGCTTGGAATAACCTCTTCATTTGCAGCAACTAAATCAAATGGGGATTATAATTGAATCTCAACTAGCTGCTGGGAAGCACTTAGAGAACACTTTCAGTGTGAAGGTGGTTGAACACTGGCACAGGTTGCCCAGAGAAGTTGAGGAGCCACCATCCTTGCAATTATTCAAAACCCAACTGGATGCAGTCCTGGGCTACCTGCTCTGTCTGACTGCTTTGAGCAGGGAGTTGGACTAGATGATTTTCGGCCTCAACTGTTCTGTGGTTGTGTGACTCCTGTTTTGGAGGGGGAGGAAGATTAGGAGCAGGTAGGCAGCACACCTTGCCTATCCAGCTTCCACATATGTACGAAGCAGAGCTTGGATACACCAAAATATCTAACATTTTGGGTTAGTTATTGGCTGATCTTATGTTTAGTGAAGAAATTTGTTACTGGTAAAGTCCTCCACTCAAAGCAAGATAATCAAATTAACTTTTTTTTATTTGCAATTCACAAACAGTACTTTCAGATGTTGTTTCAGGGGGGGTGGTGTTCTCCTCCCCCCAAGTAAATGATGCAAGAAAGGGGCAGATCCTGTTGACGTCCTAAGTGTGGCTATGTCTTACTTGGAATTACGGTCTCCAGATGTTCATGGGATGGGATCTTGACTAAAATTTTCATTATGTCTGTACTGTTCTTTGTAAAATATTAAGGTTGGTTATAGGACCCAAATTAAAATGTCATCAATTGCTGTTCTTTTGGAAGTCACTGTCATTTAGGTGGTTAATACATATTCCATATTGTTCCAACTATTAGACAAAATTTCACTTTTCCCCTCCTCTCCATTTCTGCTCTTCAGACTCATCTTAATACAGATCATAACAAGAAGAGTTTAATTCAGAAGTAGGGTTTTAAAATTGACTTTTGTTTAAAAAGCATGGTTAAATGCAGGAGACGGGATTTTGCTTTTTGCACAGAGAACTGAGGGAGTGTGGATGTCTTGAGAAGGGTGTTGGCTGCAGAAATTGTGGAGGGGAGCTCTTAAATGAAGCAGCAGTATCTGGGTAGGAGGGACTGAGACACAAGTAGGTGCAGTAATGTCAGTTGAGTGAGCGGGAGCAATGCATTTGGGTGGAATCTGAAATTTGTAGGGGAAGTTCTGGGGCAGGAGAAGTGTTAAATTGGGGATTCTGATCTGGAGTGGTTGAATGGTGGAGAGGTTTGGACTGGGGTAGAAGGAGAGTCAAACTGTGGATGAGGATGCCTCGTACTTTGGGAGGTCTAGGAAAGGAATGGGCATGCACAAGGATCTGTGGACCAAGACGGGGCTGGGTTTATCAAGTGGCACTCCTGTTTAGGTTGGGGCCGGAGGCTGCAGATCTGAACTGGACTATCCACTCTTATAATGATTGAGAAAATATGGCAGCTGACAGGGAGGCTGAAAAGGTTGTAGGCTCCTCTTTTGTGCTGTATCAAGTCCAGACTGGCCATAGGTAAATGTGGTTAGTGCTGTCATAGTCTCTCAAATGACTCCGGTGAAAGAGCAACATGTATACAGTGAGGATTTGTAGAGGTAAGTGGGCTGCCTTGCATGAGGATCTTGGTTTTTATCTGTTTCACTTTGCCTTCGTTTTGATGTTGGCTTGTGCTCATGCTTATAATTAAATCTTAATGACTATGGATTGCAAGATTTTAGATTTCAAAATTTACTTTAGAAGCTCTTATGGACAGCAGTAACTTTGGGCCTTTATTTTCATCACAGAGGCAGGTTTTAATGATCAGTTGTGTGTCAGCTGGCAGTAGTTCGGCTACATAAGGATTAAAATTTGAAAGTCTCCCTGTTTTTTAAGTAGAAGACTAACCAGGGTTTCCAGGAGAACAGACTTCAGGCAGCATTTATGGTATATTTCGAGATTTTTGTACAAATCTGTTACCCAAAATTTTGCTGAATGACAAACTGCACTGTTATATTCCTTCAGCTGCTGTGTTTTATTATAACTTCATGATATTGAAGTAATTTGTCTTGTGTTTTGTAAGGCTTTAGCAAAGGGATTTCCCTGTCTATTTTCTTGCACAGGCAAACATGCTGAAGACATATTTGGTGAATTGTTTAATGAGGCCAACAGCTTCTACATCAGAGCAAATTCCCTTCAAGACAGAATTGATCGCCTTGCTGTCAAAGTTACCCAGCTGGATTCAACGGTAGAAGAGGGTAGGTAATTACATGAAAGCATTGAGCCAGAAGTGATGTTGACAAGACCACAGTATTTAATTAAACAGCAATCAACAATCTCTGTCTTTTCAAAGTAATCCTGAACCGATATTTCATCTTGTTTTCTCAGTAAGGCAAGCTGGGAAAAATCATGTTAGCAGAGCGAGAAAAAAATATTCTCGAGTCATATAACTGTCTTCATTTTTGACTTAGTGTTACTTCAAGAAGCCCCTGTAGTTATGGAGCCATTAAGCTGCCTTTTTCACAGGGAAAACTTTTCATTTGTGAGTGTAATAAATCAGAAGTTAATAAATCTAGACCTCACTGGAAATAAGTCAGAATATGGGAAAAAGTTTGAGACAGTAGATCTATTTATTTATTTCAGGGTAGGGTGGTCACAAACTGTATTAGTTTGTGTCATCTGCAGTCATCTAAGATCATATAATACTATTTACCTAAATGAGGCACTGCATGTTTGCATCAAGTAGGTGAAATTCTCTAGGGGGTTCTAGTCACTAGAAACAGTATTTCCTTTGAAATGCTCTTACATCCTCACTTTCTTACGTGTTTGGTCATTCACTTTATAAATACACAATAAAACCAAAGGATTTAAGTAACATCCTTTTGTTCAAAAGGACTTACTACACTGATAAGTTCGAAAGCATTTATTTGGGTAAGTAAAACATGTTTCTCTGTCTAGCTCTAAAAGCTGTAACGTGCATGTTTGCTTACGTGTGCAGTTATGTCTGAGCCAGCCACTGCATGTACTCCCTGTTTAGATAATTCCTGACACTTAGTAAAATGTAAAAGCTTATTACATCAGGACAACAGTGTAATATTTACTCAGTAGTAGTTAATGCTATTTGTGATATATTTAATAGTACTTTTTATATGGTTTATATATTTAGTATTTGTATTTGTATAGTTAATATACTTAATTCTACTATTAATGCCAATATTAAATGTTACTGTTGATATTTAAAAGTGTAATATTTAGCCTTCTATTTTTATCTTGTTATTGTCTGAAAATTATGACATACCTGATTTTTTTCTGGTTTTGGAATATGTTAACTGGTAGAGTATCACAGTTGATACTAGCACCTTTCTTTTGCTGTCTTAGAGGTCAAGAGCTATATGGGAACATAAACTAAGCTGTTATGGGGTCACTATTCAGCTTAGTTTTTGAGGCATGTTGTGGTGGTAATATGAGCAAACTAGATGATATTCATACACTGTACTTGCTCCGTGCTGAGGTGGATGATGTCAGTCTTCATGACTTTAAGTCCAACATTTTTGGAAATGCAGTCCTCATCAGAGGTAGTTTTTGCTTTTGTTTCTTTTTTTAATGTCTCATTTGTATTATGCAATACCTCCTGGCTAGTTTCCAGAGTTTGGAGAGTAATTAAAAGCAGCCTGTTGGAAGGGTAAATTAGGATATGGACTGAGAATTTAATCAATTTTTATTTTAAATTGACAGCAGTTATTACGCTTGCAGTGCTAATCGTCTTTCACATTAATAAGCTATATATACAAACTGCTGTCACGTTAGTGTCAGTAGGAAATTTTATTAGCTATTTTTTATTAGCTTTCAACTTTGTAGAAGCTGAAGTCTTTATAATAATTCATTGTACTGTCACTAATACTAAATATATTTCTGGGTAGCTTAGGCATTTAAGTAAAATGTCAATCGCTAGGTTGGTATAAAAAAACCCGTTAGATTTAATTGTATCAGTGATTTCTTACATTTTTAGGTATAAATAATATATAGTGTATATATAAAAATATTTTATGTATGTAACTAATACTACAGTTGAAAAACTGTTTTAAAATAATTGAGGGTAAGTTTTCAAAAGCCTATAAATAACTTACACTAAAAAGCCCCAGAAAAATGGGATTTGTGCTCTTTTGAATGTCTTCCTTCAAACAAGAATGTAACAATTCAAATATATACATCTGAAAAAACTGCCTGAAATACCTTACTGGTTTACTTATAGGCACGTTTAAATAGAAAGTAGTTTCTCAAAAGTGGTGTTTTGATACTTCAGATGATGTGGATGGGGGAACAACGATTTGGAATGAAATACTCTATTTCTAGTTTTTTGCTATTTAAAAAGCTACAGAAGAATCTAAGTGGTCTTCGCGAGAGAGGCAAGACCTCAGCACAGATAACAAAAATAGTTGGGTAGAGAAGTCTGAGTGGGATTTGGTTTCCATCATGACAAAGGATAACAGTGTACCTTACAGGGTCTGTATCAAACTTTATACCTTTCTGGTTTTGCAGGTCATCAATATATTAAATTTTTGCCAGGTACTGTTCAGTTACCATGTGAAATTCTCACAGTTTGTTCTGAAGACTCGATAAATTAGATGAATGGGCAAGAAATATTAGATTAAATATCAATGGCAATAAAAAGAAAATAAGCCAGTGCATTTTGTTTGCACTATTCCTACAGCTTACACTGTTGTAAAACAGTGGGATCAATTCAAGAAATGGTTAGTTCGTTGTAGACAAGCCAGTGAAGACTTCAGTGCTCTGTTCAACTGCAGTCAAAAACTCATATTTCAGGTTGCCTAAGAATGGCAGATAATGTGGAGAGCTTACTGCCACTTTTAAATTGTGATTGGCATTATCTGGGTTGTCTTGGCAATGGTCACTCCATCTCAGGAAAATTTATATTGAGAATGAAAGAAAGTCTTGCTAAAAGTGACGGGAACAATTAAAAGCAACTTAAATCTTTCATTTGAAAAGAAAGAATGAAAAGGCTAGTATTGTTTCCCCCAGAACTGTCTATGTGAAAAGATAAAATGGAAGTATGTTACTGGACTGTATAAAGAAGGTAAGTATTTCTCTCCATAGAGAGATGAGGAAAGCTTAAGATCAAGGGATGTTCAGTTATGTGGAAAGATTACGGAGTTGAAAGATGGAACTTTATGTGGAACTTTCTCACAGGAGGTTGTGGAGGCCATAATTTAATTAAACTTAGAATGGGGTTGAATGTGTATGGATACCACATGTAATTATAAAACATGCTGTGTCAGAGGAATAGCAGACCTTGTGTTTCAGGCTTGAAGCCAGTCTTTCTGCTATTAGAAGTCCAGGTTAAACCTCATAAAAAGGGGAGATCATTGGACATCTGCATGTGACAGGATTCTTGTATCATCTTCCAAGACACAGTCCATGGTCCCATTATTTTAAGTGAGGTTCTGGACCAAGTGGGACTTAAATCTGATTTACTATGGTAATTCTTGCATACCTTTGTGCTTAAATATCGTGATTATCCACTAAAGAAAAATCTTGCAGTTTTCCTTCTATGTTTTGCTGAAAATATTTTAAATAGCTAGTGTAAAATGGACTTTGTTTATCCACTTATGTTAATTTCAGACCTGGGATAAATGTATTTTTGTTTCTAACAGTATCATTACAGGATATCAACATGAAAAAAGCATTCAAGAGCTCAACAATTCAAGATCAGCAGGTAGTTTCAAAGAACAGCATTCCTAACCCGGTGGCTGATATTTATAATCAGAGTGACAAACCACCACCTCTGAATATTCTTTCACCTTATAGGTATGGAAATATTCATTGTTTACCTTCTTGTACTTTGCCCTTTATCTCCTAGTTGTATGCAGAGAATAGTTACAGCAGAAGGGAAAAGCTGTATTGGTTACTGAGATTTGTTTTTTCGGCTACTTCCCTGTTCATGGAAACAAAAATTGCTATTACCACACTTAAAATCATAAGTTGTACCTGACAAAAATCATCGGTCACGAGCGGTGTTCCCCAGGGCT